TAGGCAACGGGGAGTCAGTGGCAGAGCTAGCTACTGAAGCCAGGAGTACCGCTGGGCTGCCACACAATACCCCATTTCTAGTACCCCCATGCTCTCACACACTACCCCGTTTCCAGTACCCCTGTGCTGCCACACACTACCCCATTCCCAGTACCCCTGTGCTGCCACACACTACCCCATTCCCAGTACCCCTGTGCTGCCACACAGTACCCCATTCCCAGTACCCCTGTGCTGCCACACAGTACCCCATTCCCAGTACCCCTGTGCTGCCACACAGTACCCCATTCCCAGTACCCCTGTGCTGCCACACAGTACCCCATTCCCAGTACCCCTGTGCTGCCACACAGTACCCCATTCCCAGTACCCCTGTGCTGCCACACAGTACCCCATTCCCAGTACCCCTGTGCTGCCACACAGTACCCCATTCCCAGTACCCCTGTGCTGCCACACAGTACCCCATTCCCAGTACCCCTGTGCTGCCACACAGTACCCCATTCCCAGTACCCCTGTGCTGCCACACAGTACCCCATTCCCAGTACCCCTGTGCTGCCACACAGTACCCCATTCCCAGTACCCCTGTGCTGCCACACAGTACCCCATTCCCAGTACCCCTGTGCTGCCACACAGTACCCCATTCCCAGTACCCCTGTGCTGCCACACAGTACCCCATTCCCAGTTCCCCTGTGCTGCCACACACTACCCCGTTCCTAGTACTCCTGTGCTGCCACAAAGTACCCCATTCCTACATGACAGCCTGGAGTGCAAGAAACTCCCTGGGCTGCTGAACAGTAGGTGAACTGCAGCTGACCTGCTGCCACCCAGTTTGCACAGGAGCTGCAAGGAACTGTCCTAAGAGTGACTTTGAGGAGATACAATCACGTTCCACCCTCGGGGAGGGGGGAGAAGGGGGAAGAGGTTGGATCATTTATTGGTTACAAACAGCAGGTGAATGAAACCTCACAGTCCTATGCTTTAGCCATAAGGCCGCCCTCTTCCAGCTGAAGAACAATTTAAAGCAGCGGTGGGGAGCCTGCGGCCCATCGGGGTTCTAGGTGTGGCCCACAAGACATTTTGTTCACCGTCGCCCACAATGCCGCTGGTTTCCATCGGCACCGCTTGTTTCCTCCTAGCTGGGGCACGCGAGGTGAGGCGTGTGCTGATTGCACACAGCAGCGACTGAGAGCCGGGCGCTCCCTTTGCATTAAATCAAAGCGCTACTACGGTTCAATCGACACAGCCTGAACATTTTAGGGACGCGAGCACAATTAGCAAAGCTACCCTGTCCTAGGGGCCGTCTTGTGGCCCTCTGCGATGAAGGAGGGACCACTCACTAGCTTAGGTTGTTCTTCACTGATTCAGAAGCATAAGAATTTACTACTGATCAGTGAATAGCAGTAAATTGATGCTATTCGGGGCAAATTCCGCTTCTTGTCTCAGATAACTGGGCTTTGACCGTTAATCGTTGCTTCAATAAAACATAGATTTGCAAACAGCAATACAACTGCCAGTAAAGTTTTAAGTAATGAACTAATTAAATTACTGAGGGCAGAGACCAGACAGACTTTATAATGCCAAATGCGTTTGCATGTCTAGCTTGAAATCCTAGTGACAGAAATACAGCCCAGCAACCAAATGAATCATGATGAGATTGTTTCTTCTCCTTTGAATAACATTGGCGGCAGTGGGAAGAGGAACAGTTCTTCCTGCTTCAAGGATATTTTATTCTGATAGAGCAGAAATAGCTGGTTGCAAACCTTAGCCACTGTCCTAGGGAAGAGCGCAGTAAATTAAAGATCGGAACAGGGAAGCCAATATTAAAATAGAGCTAAATTCAAACCATGCGCTGGCTGGTTAGTTGAAATGTCTCCGCGGAAGCTGGAGGTGGAACAGCCACCCCAGCCAAGAAGAAGAGCGTGGGATTGTTCTGGCCCATTGCCCCGACTCCAGGTTGTGCAGGGAGGCTGACAAAGCGGCTTTGGGGTGAGCCTCGCCTCTTTAAATAGAGCCTCGGAAAGGCTGTGGTTGTATTACTGACATTCTACGTCTACACCTCTTGGCTGGCCAGGACTGTTATAAAGCTGCCGGATAAAACATGGCTATAATCTTGGCTCTCACTTGCTGACTGTCTAAATAACCTTTCAAGACCCCTGTGTAATATAAATGCACTTCAGACCATTTCTTCAGTTTACGGGCGAGTATTGATCTGCATGGACATTCGCATTTATTTGTATAGTGCTCTTAAGTATATCCTCCCACTAAAAATGTACTGAACAGGGGCATTATTGTATATTACAGACAGTTCGTTTGCCTAAGTAGCTAATTGCGAGAGTGGCTTAAAAGCCTATGCTAATTAAAATGATTATTAAAAATAATTTTGATGTTATTTTAAGTTCTCTTGCCTATGCTTCACTTCAGGGGTTTTGTTGGTTTGTTTTGGCTTGGTTGGCTCTGAGACAATGCCTGGGACTATACAGGTGTGTCTGCAAAAAACAAACAATATAAAGATCCAGTCCGACAAGGCAGCCTGCAGAGACTAGAACATCCATTAAAAAGTTACCGGATCCTACAATCCCATGGAAATCAAGGCAAAATTCTCAGGGGTAAAGAGGGAGCAGGATCATGTCCTTAGCCTGTGATTTAAACACAAAAAATGCAGGCTACGTCTACACTAACATGATTTTCCAGAAATGCTTTTAACGGAAAAGTTTTCCGTTAAAAGCATTTTCGGAAAATCGCGTCTAGATTGGCAGGACGCTTTTCCGCAAAAACACTTTTTGCGGAAAAGCGTCCATGGACAATCTAGACGCGGTTATGCGCAAAAAAGCCCCGATCGCCATTTTAGCCATCAGGGCTTTTTTGCGGAAAACAGTACTGTGCTGTTTACACTGGCCCTCTTGCGCAAATGATTTGTGCAAGAGGGCTTTTGCCCAAACGGGAGCAGCACAGTATTTCTGCAAGAACACTGACAATCTTACATGAGATCGTCAGTGTTCTTGCGGAAATTCAAATGGCCAGTGTAGACAGCTGGCAAGTTTTTCCGCAAAATCAGATGATTTTGCGGAAAAACTTGCCAGTCTAGACACAGCCGCAGTGTGGTGTCCAACATGCTAGCCACTAAGCCACATGTGGCTATTTAGCCAGCTGAGTGTGGCTACTTGGCTATACTTGGACACCAGGGATGTAGAGGAAGAATAAGGGCGGTCCAGTGATTAGGAACTAGCCTGGGACCTTGGAGACCTAGATTCAAATCCCTGCTCTGCCACAGGCTTCCCGTGTGATCTGAGAGAGTCACTCTGTGCCTCAGGTCCCCATCTCTACAATGGGGCTGGATAACAGCACGGCCTACCTCACAAACATGTGTGAGGGTGAATATAATAGACTGTGAGGTGCTCAGGGATAGGGACTATAAAAATATCTTAGACAGACAGACATAGGCATTTGTTTTGGGTTCGTACAGCACATACGTGCGACCATAATGCCAATAAATAATGGGCTTAATTTTCACCTGCACTCATCAAAGTCTTTAAGCATGTGCCTAGGTTTAAGCTTAAGTTCTTTGTTGAATTGGGGCCCTAATGCGTAGAAATACTGGCCCTGATTTTCCATCTGCTTTTGTTTGTGTAGGCAAGGAATAACCCTATCTGGAGATACATTGCAGGGCCTGCACAGTGATGGGGGTGGGAAAACTGTCCACACTCTGCCACTGACCTGCCACGTGATCTTGGGCAAGTTCTGTAACCCCTTTGTGCCTTAGTCTCCCGACATGTGAAACATACCTATTAACCTCTCTCACAATGACACTGCAAGGATCAATATGTTTCGTGATCTGCAAAGGGTTAACACATATTCAGAGCAGAAACCAGCAGGGGAGACCAGTGCTCTAGAGTTCTCCAGTCCTGGAGGCATGAAACATTTTACACAGAGAACAAATGGAAGATGAGGTACCTGAAGTGAAAAAGCCTTGAGGGTTTCCTCTTGGAAGAGGAGACTATGGTCCAAGATTTCTTCATATTTTTTTCCTCCTCCCCTCCCTTCCTCTCCTCTCCCTGCCACTCAGTTCCCCTCCCCATAAAAGTGATACTCTCCGTGTCTGTGAAGAACGTTTGGTTTCCTGGCGGTAAGTCAGACAGAGGTAGATGGCTGACTTTGGGCCTGTGTAGAGGTGACTTCCTATTACTCAACGAAGCCAGTGGCAATTCTGGATGGTAAAACTGGCCAATGGGCAGCCCATTCCTGAGTCCTCACCGAACTCAACATGTGATTCCTTACATTTTCAGCCAGGTACCAGTGAGCTCTACAGAGGTTTCACCAAACTGAGGTGGAGTTAGGCTTTTAAAGGGACATGTCAGCACCTGCAGGCTGTCCTTTGCAATCTGAAAAGCTGTTTCTACCCGCCACTCCCAGGAAGAAAATGCTTTAATAGCAGCAACTCACCATTAGTATGTCAGCTGTGATTGCCCAGTTTGAAAACAGAAGAGTTTCTCCGATAAAAATGCAAATCTGTCATAACAAAACACACACAAAGGACAAGATTTAGTCACATGAAACTCAACATGGGTGTGTGTGTGTGTGTGTTTGCCATAAATCTTCCTATTCTGTTTGTTTGTTTCAAACTTGTTGCAATAAGTCCCTAGTTAATATTCACAACAGACCACATTACAAATATATCGATTTTTATGGGCTTGGATCATGGCTCCTTTAGCAAACATTGTGCACAGTCTAGAGAACAATTCCACAAAAGGCTGACACCCTCTGCAACAGGTTAACGTGAGAGCATAGCCCGGTGGATTCATGGCTTCAAAATATGAAGTTACACAGGTCTAATCCAAAAAGGAACAACATTTGTGTTGAATGTAACTCCCTGGGACACACAAAACCTACTTGCTAGTGAAGCAAATGATGAGTATTAAAGGTCACATAGCAAAATGGGAATTAATTTCTCTAACCATAGAACAGGTGTATCCATGCAAGATCCCCTCAGTATAACACTAGGCAAGGCCTCTAATCCTCCTCTGGAGCGAGCATACATCTAGGAATCAGTAATAATAGTTCAGGGCCCCAATGCACCAAAGCCATAAGTGCATATTTAGCTTAAGATCAACCCCATTCCATCAACATGCGGCTGGAACGGAGGTTTTAGTCTCAATAGCCAATTCAGTTCTTGGCCTCTTGCTAACAATTATTCCAAAAGTTCTCCTCATTGGTTCAAGCCCCCTAAAAAGAAAGGGGAAACGCCTTCATTGGGATTTATTCCTCCTTTCCATTTCATACCTCGTGCTCTAACACCATCTGTTTGTAAGATGCTGTGGCTCATTGCAACAGGCGTATGAGATTTCAAAGGCATTCAGGCCACACAGAGGCACCCGACTAATCATTTGCAAAGTAAAGAGACAAACAAATGCCCAAAAATAGCCACCTTCACAACCTGCTCTATACATGCCATGTAAAATACACACCATCCTGACAGGCTTGTGATGGCCCCGCTATTCCTCAAATCAAGAAGGCAAGAAAAGCCACAACATGCCATCACAGCAGCGTATTTTGCTTCGTCGTATCACTCATTTTTTGATACTCCACCTAAAAGAGCTATTTCTCCTCAAGCCAGCCCTCGGGGGGTGGAGGGGAGCAGAGACAGACTGATGCTCCTGGAAGCTCAAATCTTTGATTTATTTTTAATTTGCTTCTTCGGTTTCCTTTACGTTCTGGTTATCTGTTCCACTTCTTCTGCCTAAGGCTGGACCTCATCACCCTCAAATAAGGTCTGATTCATTTTGGGGATGAATTAAATGTATATGCGGAATACTTCTAAAGAACATTGTTGGTGCTGTCTCTGTGGTTTTGAGGGCTTCAGAGAGGGGATGATTTAGCCACATGCCCATTGAAATCAAGTGGGTTGATTCTCTTGATTGTGTTAGACATATATTTTTGGGGGTGGAACATCTCATTCCTCCCTAGCAGTTCTGATGTGGCCATGTCATTTGCTTTCACTGTATGTTGGTTTAGGTTCCCTGAACTCTGATCCTTCTGTTGCTGCTGGGAAGAGGTTTCCTTATTTAGCGAGTTTTCAATCCCGCACTGATTTGCTTCTAAAATTAAATCTATTTCTCACCCCAGCTCTCTGTGACTGGTCTTGTTTCTTGTATTATGGTGACAGAGCCAATTACTATGGCCTGGCTTCTGAGCTAGGAATTCTCAGTCCTTCCTTTGGTCATTACTATGGGTGCATCTGCACAGAACCCGTTGATCGAAATAAGATACGCAATTTGAGCTATGCAAATTGCGTATCTTATTTCAAAATTTAAATGTTGAAATAGAATGCTATTCCGAAATGGCCCTTAACCCTCGTGGTTACAGTGATGTCAGAACAGTGCCCCTGTTATTTGGAAATAACGGCTGCGTTTAAAAGATGCAGAATAGCTATTTCAGGATACTTCCAGTATCCTGAAATAGCGCCGCTGTCTAGACGTAGCCTATATGTTTTTGTACTCTGCCACTGAGTTCCTAGCTTCTTCTCTATTGTGCCTTTACATTAGACTTCTGTACATATATACAGAACTTGACAAACAGCGGTGAAAGCCGCTCGCCAGCCCCGCACTGCGCATGAGCAACACTCGCATTGCGCGTGCGCATGTCGCAAATGAACGGGGTGCCCAGCTGAAATCTACTCGCCAAAGGCGAGTAGATTCAATGCTTTTTTGAGCCCTGCATATATTCTGATTTTACCCCGGGAAACCCACTATTCTGAAACATCCCTTACTCCCCGTGGCATGAGGTTTACAGGGATGTCGGAATAGCGAGCTCATTATATAGCAAAATAACGGGCTTGCTGTGAAGACACAGGATAGTTATTTTGTGATACTCCGGCATCCTGAAATAGTGTTGCAGTGCAGACGTAGCCTAAACAAGCATCGTCCCAAGCCATGCCGACTCTGGAGTTCTGATATCAAGCACATTAGGAAGCATTATGAATTCCCTACAGGTGTTTTTGGAGTCTATAATTATAAACTTAGTTTCACTGGTTTTGTAAGCTTCAAAGTGAGAATGATCATTCAACTATTTTGGAGGATGGGGGGGCATAGGTACCATGCACGCACTCAAACTGAAGCATGCCTAATTTTCAGTGCTGAATGGTATGCAAATCTCAAAAGGCAGAGGAGGAGCTACCTTTGGGACAAAAGACAGCACAGGACTTGGAAGCAAGCAGCCACCAAAGTGATATGGGAAGTGTTTCATTTGGGAGAAGTTGTTTGCTTTTAAGATGATCTTGGGAAATCAAAGTAAGCACGGAATCCAAGGCACTACAGCAGCTAAAAGGCATATAAAACACCTCTTTGAAGCTCTCTTGATATTTAAGCCAAGTGTTAGGCAGCTGAAATCTGCTTCTGGTCCTAGTATCTCTTGAACCTATGAGCGGCATGACACAGAATCATAGAATACTAGAACTGGAAGGAATCTTGAGAGGTCATCAAGGTTCTCCAGTCCTCTGTTCTCACAGCAGGACCAAACACCATCTACTATCACTGGCAGGTGTTTGTCTAACCCGGTCTTAAAAATCTCCACTGACAGAGATTTCACTACCTCCCTGGGAAATTTATTCCAGGCCTTAACCACCCTGACAGTTAGAAAGTTTTTCCTAATGTCCAACCTAAACCTCCTTTGCTGCAATTTAAGTCCGTTGCTTCTTGTCCTATCAGAGGTTAAGGCAAATAATTTTTCTCCCTTCACCTTGTAAACAACCTGTTAGGTACTTGAAAGCTGCGATGTCCCTTCTTAATCTTTATTCCAGACTAAACAAACCCAGTTCTTTCAATCTTCCCTCATAGGTCATGTTTTCATTTTTGTTGCTCTTCTCCAATTTTTCACATCTCTCCTGAAATGTGGTAATAAGAACAGGACACAATACTCCAATTGTGGGGTATTCAATGCAGAGTAGAGTGAAAGAATGATTCCTTGTGTCTTGCTTAGAACACTCTTGTTAATACATCCCAGAATGATGTTTGCTTTTTTTTTTTTTGGCCACAATGTCACACTGTTGACTCATATTCAGCTTGTGGTCCACTATGACCCTAGATCCCTTTGGGCATGTCTAAAGTACATCCCTCTTTCGAAAGAGGGATGTACTTTAGACATGCCCAAAGGGATCTAGGGTTGTACTCTTCTTTTGAAAACGGCTATTTCAAAAGTGAAACTGCTGTCTAGACTCAGCTCTTTTGAAAAAAATCCCCCCTTTTTCGAAAGATCTTGTACTCCTCAAAAAATGAGTACAGGATCTTTCAAAAAAGGGTTTATTTTTCCCAAAAGAACTGTGTCTAGACAGCAGTTTCACTTTTGAAATAGCCGTTTTCAAAAGAACGCGTGGCCACCATTATGCAAATGAAGCACGGGAAATTCAAATCCTGGCTTCATTTGCAATTTCAATCTGTCTTCTTTACATCCCTCTTTCAAAAAAAGAGGGATGTAGTCTAGACATAGCCTTCCTGCAGTATTCCTTCCCATTTCCCATTGGCTACGTCTAGACTGGCATGATTTTCCGAAAATGCTTTTAACAGAAAAGTTTTCCATTAAAAGCATTTTCAGAAAAGCACGTCTAGATTGGCAGGACGCTTTTCCGCAAAAGCACTTTTTGTGGAAAAGCGTCCGTGGCCAATCTAGACGCGGTTTTCTGCAAAAAAACCCTGATCGCCATTTTCGTGATCGGGGCTTTTTTGCGGAAAACACTACTGTGCTGTCTACACTGGCCCTTTTGTGCAAAAGTCTTTCGGAAAAAGACTTTTGCCCGAACGGGAGCAGCATAGTATTTCCGGAAAAGCACTGACGATCTTACATGAGATCGTCAGTGCTTTTCCGGAAATTCAAGCGGCCAGTGTAGACAGCTGGCAAGTTTTTCCGCAAAAGCAGATGATTTTGCGGAAAAACTTGCCAGTCTAGACACAGCCATTGTGTATGTGTGCAACTGACTGTTCCTCTCTAAGTGGAGTACTTTGCATTTGTCCTTATTGAATTTCATCCTATTTATCTCAAACCATTTCCCCAGTTTGTCCAAATTATTCAATTATAATCCTATTCTCTATCATTCTCTACCATTTCCCCAGTTTGTCCAAATTATTCAATTATAATCCTATCCTATTCTCTGGGTGCAACCCCACCCAGCTTGGCATCAACCATAAACTTTGGAAGTGTACTCTCTATGCCAATATCTAAATCATTGATGAAGATATTGAACAGAACCAGTCCCAACTGTGCCCTGCAGAACCTCTTTCAGCATGACTGGGAACCATGGATAACTAATCTCTGGGACTGGTTATCCAACCAGTTATGTGCCCACCTTATAGTACCCCGTCTAGGTTGTATTTCTCTAATTTATTGATAAGAAGGTCATATAATGCTTTACTAAAGCCTAGGAATACAACATCTGCCACTTCCCCCTTATCCATAAAGCTTGTTATCCTATCAAGAAAGCAATCAGGTTAGTCTGACATGATTTGTTCTTTACAAATCCATGTTGACTCTTACTTATGACCTCATTACGTTCCAGATGCTTGCAAATGGATTCCTTAGTTTTTGCTCCATTATCTTTCCTGGCACAGAAATGAAACTGACTAGCCTATAATTTCCTGAGCTGTTGTTTTTTCCCTTTTTATAGATGAGCACTACATTCACCCTTTTCCAGTCTTCTGGAATCTCTTCCATCTTCATTGACTTTTCAAAGATGATAGCTCAGATAATCTCCTCAGTTAGCTCCTGAGTATTCGTGGATGCATTTCATCAGGTACTGGGGACTTGAAGACATCTACATTTTCTAAGTCATTTTTAACTTGTTTTTTTTTCCTATTTTAAGTTCTGAATCTTCATCATTTTCTCCAGCATTCACTATGCTGGGCATCCAATCCCCACCCACCTTCTTGGTGAAAACCCAAACAAAGAAGTCGTTAAGCACCTTTGCCATTTCCACATTTTCTGTTATTGTTTCCCCCCCCCTTCATTGAGTCCTACTCTGTCCTCGGTCGTCTTCTGGGTAACAATATATTTGTAGAATGTTTCCTTTCGGGTCTCTAGGTCGTTTGAGCTTGTTTGTGCCTTGGCCTTTCTAATTTTGCCCCTGCATCCTTGTGTTATTTGTTTATATTCATCCTTTGTAATCTGACCTCATTTCCACTTTTTGTGGGACTCCTTTTTGATTTTTACACCATTCAAAATCTCCTGGGAAAGCCAGGCTAGTCTCTTGCTGTGCAGCTAATGGGTTTGGAAAGATGAAATTGGATGTCTTGACACTGAAGGAGAAATGCAAATTTCGGAGAAAGTGGGACTTAAAGCTATACTGGATGACAACACATGTTCACACACACACTTTTTAATGGGCAGGATGACACAGATGACAATACACACACAAACATTTATATGGCAGAGTAAGGGGTAATCAGGATTTACAGCAAAATACAGTAACAAAAAGCAAACGTTGCAAGAACGAGTGTTCCCAAACGAGGGATCACTGGTGGTCTGTGGACAGCTAGCCAGTTTGGTGCTGCCTCTTGCGCTCATTTCCAGCTACTGCCAGCACAGAACAGCCTGGAGGCATATAAAGGCAGCGAAAGAGAGGCGATAGCTTACACGGCATGCGATGGAAGAGGAGAAAACGATACAATGCCAACACAGCCCCAAACCCAGCACAGCAAAGCTGACATGGCAGTGCGCAAAAGAAAGAAGACCAAGCAGAGGAGAGGCACACATAACCCTGGGTCTCAGCCCCGTTGCATGGAAGGACGTATGTGGTCCTGCTAAGGAGTGTGGAGGACAGGGCGCATGCGAGATGGCATGCAGCATATTCAGAGAAGGCACCATACTTACATAAGCTCCCACAATGCTGCTCTTGGCAGCAACGAAGATCAGACAGATGAAGATGGCCGACCCCAGCATGCCGACGGCACAGACCAGGGGGTCAGCTCGCTGGGTTTTTAACCGGCACCATTTGGTTGCTCCAGCCCCTGTGATCACACCCAGAAAACCAGTGAAGCACGTGATTGCTCCGAAGATCAAACTATTAAAACAAAATATTGAGAGAAGGTTACTTGCCCACCTACGCACTAACGTGCACAAGCATTATTCACAAGCAAGCAGAGAAAAGACAGAGCGATGGGATCTGCACTTCATTCTCTGGCTTTGCGGGTTTACCCAATTGTCACTGTCACTGTCTGTGATGGGTTGGAGGGGTGCTGGCCAGTGCCCGGTGCCTAACGGGTTAAACTCAGCGGGTTTTGCACAAAAACTCTGCAGTGGAGACGTAGCCTGAGTGTTAAGCCGCAGTACAGCAGGGCAAATTCTCAGTGTGATCGAGTCTCATGATTTCACTGAAAGTCTCATGATACTTGATGCTATTCTTAAAGCCCACGCTCCTGGGATTCATTTGATTGGAGGGGGGGAAAGGGAAGAAGTGTCTAGACTGCACAGTTGCAGAGAAATGCTCGACATGCTACCTGGGACTAGCGGGGCCGGAAGGCAGCAGAATGTCCTTCCGGTGTTTATAAAGAAACAAATCCGCATCCTCTGCACAACATGACCTCACACTTGTCACAGCGGCAGGGGCAGGGGTCACGCTGACAGGGAAGGAGTAACTGTACTTAACAACTCAGGAGTGTGCCTTACACCCTAGTGGCTCAAAAAGAAAAAAAAAGCAGAAGTAAAAAAATCTCCAAATGATGCTGGGAACAAAATTCTTGGGATTATTAAGCCACTCTCCTGATTGGTTGACCCTTGATTTCTACTTTTGGAAGGTGTAACTTCCCTTTTAGTTAGTGACCTGTGGCAAACTCCTGGGCTACTAAGGAACTGGGAATGTCTCAGCACCAACAAAACCGAGAAGGCTGCTTGTTCCAAAACGGGTCGCCAAACCGTGTCTGCAAAGTCTGCACGGCCCGCTTTGGAAAACGTCACGTTTGCCTGTGGGGAAGGAACAGAATAGTTGGCTGTGGGGAGGGAGCAGGGGGCCCTGCCTCCAGTTAATCTGCCCGAGTTCAGAACAGGACAGGGGGAGAGCTGAGTTGAGTCAGAAGTTCACACACCAAGTTCTGCGCTCAGCTCTGTCAGGGCAGTGTGGGCACACCCGGCAGCTTCACAGCACTTCTAGACCTGGCCTTCATTATTTCCAGCCTGCAATCTTTACCACTGCCTGCGTGTCAGCAAGCATCTTCTGGCTCCCTCTAATGCACAGTATACAATGGCCAGCGGCCATTCCTGGTGAGCTGGGTGTGAGGTAAGTGGCCAGTTTTGAAAACATGGCTCTGGGAGTCCAGGTCAACAGCCTCTTTCTTCTTTTGCCTCTGTGACAGAAGTTGGAGGGGAGAGCTGAGACCAGTGCATCTTTACAACAGTATCACAATGTCACAGTGGGAATGGGGACGAACATGGTATTAAATGCCCTCTTCCCGCTCAAACATAGCCGCACTGCAACATGAGAAGCAAGTAAGCAACAGGTTGATGACAGATTAGAAACCACTACTCCATTGGAGCTCTCAGCTCCTCCCCCTACCCTGTCGACAGACAGGATACTGGGCTAGATGGACCTTTATCTGACCCAGTCTGGCCGTTCTTATGTTCTAAGTACCAGCTCTTAAAGAACCAGAGGGCAACAGCATCTGCATGGAGCAACCCTTAAGTAATTTTATGCCAGATTTGCAAACGAGGCACTTGACCATTCAAGATGTCATGGTCCATACCAAGGATATTAACCAGAGCTGATCACAATTTTCAACCATTTTTAAAAATTAAAATGGCTTGTGAAAAAAAAAATCCACTTTCATACAAAATGGTCAGTTTTTTGTCGAAAAACTGAACTAGTTCTCAAATGTTGATTTAAGCTTTTAGTTCCTGAAGAATCTTTTATTTCCCAAAAGGGTCGAGAAAGTCAAGAGATTGTGACACATTTTTTTAAAATCACTTTTCCACATTTTTTGTACAGGGAAAAATAATGATTTCCCAATCGACTTTCACATTTACTCTGATGTGAGGGCCAATTTCCAAAACTGGCAACTGTGCTTTTTCTGCCCAAGATCCCCTGCAATTTGGCAATTCTTCACTTTTTTTTTCTAAAGAACAGGTTAGACAAACACCCATCAGGACGGTCTCAATAATATTTAGTCCTGCCTCAGAGAAGGGGACCCAACTAGATGACTGGGACCTTCCAGTTCTGCACGTCCATGATTTTATTCTTCTCAAATAACGTGCCATATTGCAGTCTTACTGGAGCAGGTTCAAAGCAACAATAACGAGCAAAACAGGTTTTCGAAACTTCTCCTACAAGTCTGGGATCTCTTTTCAGCTCAGAAAGGAGCCCCAAAGCCTTTCATCTACTCAAACATCATCCTTTGTCAGCCTGCTTCCAGCACATGGGGCAACTGGTAGAGGAGCACCCATTAGGGCTGAAGACATGGCCTCAAGGGCACCCCTTTGCTGGTCCCTAGATGGAGAGGGACCACACCAAGTCTTGTACTTTGGCCGCCATGCCAACCCAATCCCTGGTATCACTGAAAATGTCTGAACCATCCTAACACCCTCCTCTAGTGCCAGAGTAGCCACCTCCTCCTGGACCTTACTTCCAACCTCACAGAGAGCTGCATTCCACCAAAAGGTCGCCAAGCGCCATATACACAAGAACCAATTAAACGGTTAGCGCCTCTGTGGAAGTAGACAGGTACATATGGTAAAGCTCAGGCACGGAGAAGCCCCATCTCCAGGTAACATCATGCTAGGACTTGGTGGCCATAACAGGGTAGAACAGAGATCTCTTGGCTTTCAATCCTGTGCTTAAGTTACAAAGGCACCTGTCTTCCCTGATCTCCCTTGCCTGGCCTCAGGCCTTCACAATGGGGTCATGTCCAGGAGTGAAAAAGGGATCGGCTGCAACAATGAAGAGTAAATTCTGAATTTAAACCTGAGGGTTGCCTATTATTGTTGTCAAGGGCCACAGGAAGTTATAGGGAGCCTAGTAAATGGTTTTCGTCCTCTTAAGCTAGTGTTTCTTAAATAAGACCGAGGAACACCAACCAATATTTTTCTTATGAGGAACACCAAGGATTTTTTGTTGAAAAAATAAAAAGGTCGGGGGTAGGGGAGGAAAGGGTTGGGGGGATAGTTATTGGGCCAAAAAAAAATGGTTGGGGGAAAGTTATTGAAAAAAAAAAGTTGCCCCTTTAAGGGCGGCCATTTTGAATTCTGTTGTTCTCTGCGGCACACCTCCGACAGCTTCGTGGCACACCAGTATACCTCGGAACACAGTTTAGGAAACACTGTCTTCAGCCCTTTCTCACAATAGCACAGGGCAAGCCTTACCTGTCCCTGGTGCCGCATGGCTGCGCACTGCACGTCTCCACAGTTTTCTGTACCACTTGTGCCCTGTGAAGGTAGAGGGGGATCCACATGCCCAGCGCCCCCGTGGCGAAGGAGACGGCTGAGGTGGCCAGCGAGGAGAACACATAGCTGCGGCTGTGGAGAGGAGAAAGCGGAAAATCCAAGGGTTAGCCCCAGAACCGCGTTAGCCTCTGAGGTCGGGAAACTCCGGAGGAAGAAGAGCCGTGGGGCCAGCTGCACAGGTTGGGAAGGCAGGCGGCAGCCACGCAGAAAACGGCATCAGCTCAGCCCCGAGCCCATAAGGCAGAGCATCCCTAGATTGAGATCAACTCCAATAGGCTCTGAAGATACAATTACAGTTCTTTCTGCTGGAGCTGCCTCTGCCGAAGACGGGCTCTCAAAGGAAACTGCCTACAGGCTCTCTCAACGGGGAGCTTCTTTTGCAGCTGTCATCACTGTGGTTTTAGCCTGTGCCAGGCCATACGGCGTGGCTTTGTAAGTCGGGTTAAAGCATCACCACGCCGTACATGGCCTGGATCTCCCCTTGTTCAGTCATTTACATCAGCGCAAAGCAGGAGTCAAATTCCCCCAGGCTCCCAGGTGGTACTGTTTAGCACTCACAGGTGCAACCATGGCACACGGTGATGACAAATCAGGCCCTGGGTACATTTCTACCCCACTGTGCTGTGACAGTCACAAGATGTCGCACCTCCTGGACAGCCCTTCACATTGGCAAAGTGCCAAGCGACTAGTAAGTATTGCAGCTTCAGAAAACAGTCAGCCCTCAGCCACCAAGATGTCGTCCCTCTTCTTTTCCCAGCATGCCTGTATGCCTGCTCCATAAACATGCCTCGTGAAACCAGGTTTACCTGCGCCGGTCGACAAAGGCTTCCTTGTCAACCGCAGCGCGTCCAGACTGCCCCAAACTGCCAACAAACAGCTGATCATCAGCTGGTCAGCAGAGCGCAGCAGCCATTTAAATTTCCCTTTGCCGCTCAGCCTCATCTACATGGCTCTGTCGACAGAGCCATGTAGTTTAGATACACCCCTAGTGAAAAAGCAACGGTGGTTTCCTCTCTCAGGGAACATGCTTTCGGCTGCGTCTTGAGCGTGGCCGCAGATCACAGGGCAACTGGACAGCAAGGCCCCCTGACTCTCAGACTGGGTGTTAAAGGCCATTTCAGCGGCGCTCTTACTTCCTGATCAGCGCCTTCATGTCTCTTAGCCACGAGGTCCGAGCCTTCAGCTGCCCCCCCAGCTGCTCCACGTTGCCTCTTTTAGCAGCGGGTACGAATATCAAGATGAGTGTCCCTGTGATCATGCCCAGGAGTGGAGATACCTGGAAGAGAGGACCGGGAATCAGCACACGAAACAGCCAGTGGCTAGCCCAAAAGAAACAGATCGCATTCGTTTCATTTCATTCCTTACAGCTGGCCCGACTTATGCACCCACCGCCTCATCTGCTCCTCTCCCGCCTTTCTCCCTGGCTGTCGAGGCTCTTACTCTCTCTAGCAGCTCAGCTATGGGGATGCCTGTGATTTAGGGGGCCACGCTCTGTGTTACTGCTCTGCCCAGCTCATCTTTATTGACATTTAACCCTTCCGGAGCCAGCTAACCCCCAGGTGGGCTAGGGGACTAGCCCGTTTCTAGAGGCATTTGAAAGATGTCTGGGGTGCCAGCAAGCTGAAAGGTTTTCTGGACGTTGGGAGTGAGCCTCCATTGGTTTGACCTCTCCCCTACTACATGTGCCCTGGCTCTGGTCTGGCTTTCAGCTTCAGCCAAGTCCTGATTGCTCTCTGCACGGGGCATTCAAGGTGCAAAGTGGGGAAACGAGAGGCACACAAGGATTAGGTCTCCTGACTTCCAGTCCACCACTCCAGTGACTAGGGAAGATTTGCATCGTCCAAAGGATCTCAGGGTGTGTCTAGACTACACCTCTCTGTCGACAGATATAGATTAGGCACATGGAAAATGAAAATGAAGCTGGGATTTAAATATTCCGTGCTTCGTTTGCATAAACATGGCTGCCGCTTTTTTCCGAAACAGCACTTTTTTGAAAAAAAAACAAACAAAAAAAAAAAACGGCAGTCTAGACGTGGATCTTTCGAAAAATAAACCCTTTTCCGAAAGATCACTTATTTCAAAATGAGATGTACAGGGTCTTTCGAATGATTTGCTTTTACTTTTCTTCAGTTCCCATATTTTTATTTGTAATTCTGCTCCCTAAGACAATGTCCAGTAATACATTTTGTTTTCTCAGGAGGGCCTAGGGACATCTTAATACATGTTATATACATGTGATTGCAAATCTTATATGTACAGTGCACTTACAGTACTATTCCATCTGAAATGCCCAAACTGGCTGAAGAGTTGTAGTGCAAATGGAGGAGGGCTTCACAGGCTATAAAAACTGAACCAGGTATTTACTACTGACATTCAGTCTATACGAGGATGAAACACAGCCGGGGGGGGGGGGGCGGAGCCCCGCAC